CCCCAGAGAATGTTATAATAATAAAAAAAAGTCCCACTATTAGTAACAGGGAATCTCAGCAATTCAATATTGCATTTCATTGGCAATGAGATAATTCACATAAATTTTAATATATTAACATTGGTTTAAAAAAAAGACAATTTTAGGCTAGATGATTGCAATTCATAAGGCAGTAGCTTAGAAAGGATTTTATCAATCTTTTCCATTACTAAATTTAGCTTCTTACCAGCAACTTTCAGAAACAGGCTTTCCTCATCTGCAAGCTTCTTCATATATATGAACACCACATTTTTTCTGTGCAATAACTGGACAAATTGGCCCCTACACTAGTACGTGTACTGAGGGGAGGCTCTGCGGTGGCTGGTACCCATCATCCCCATTTGTTTTCTCCTGTGAGTGCCGCTGATAAGCAGCTGGAGTGCAAGCACAGGGAAGGAGACTTGACCCCACGTTCTACCTTTTAGAATCTGATTCTGCACTTCAGATGATGGGGACCATAGAATTGAGAACTGGACCACAGAGCAGAATTTATGTTTGGCTGCAGAGTGAGTGAATTTGGGTTAACCTACCAGAGATTACTTCAGGAGGTTTTGGAAGTTTGCTTTTGCTGTGGCCTCTTTCTCAGAAAAAAAGTCTTCAGCCCTACTTTGCTATATTTAGATCTCACTTCCCCTTTCACTGTTACATGTAATAAACCACTTATTCTCCAGAGAATCCAAAGAACATTTTAGGGAAAAAGAAATCTACAATTGTACATCAAAACCAAAGTAAGAACCACACAACATTTTGAAGCAGTTGGTGGTGTAGTACGGGCATCTTTAAGCATTCTCTTGCACAGACAACATAATGCATCAAAGGCATCTGTTTAATTTTATTCTACATAATCAACTTCCAGTATTCATTTTCTAAAAATATGTTAGGGGCAGGTAAAGCATGTCATACCTGGCCAAATATGCTTTTTATTTTTTATATCTTTGAAGCTATAGCCCATTGTTGTTAAGTAGCTTGAGCAGTATATGTATGAATTAACTGCATGCTACTTCAGCTAATTGAACTGGAGCCCTGTGTGGAATGTCCTCTGCAGCACATGCTGCAATGTTGCTCAGACGAGAGCATTATGGACAAATCCAAGCACTTAACTTTTTGGCTGGGTGAAAGTACAGTTTATTTTATTGGCTATTTTTAAGAATTGGAGGTTGCAACTCCACAACTATTTCATTATGTCTTTAAGAGAAACTTGACTTGTCAATGTGCAGTCAGGCCAGGTGCGTTTCTCACGTGCAGCGAGCAGTGTCCAGGAATGCACAGAGGATCGGGGCTGCTGAGTGCTGGCCAAGTAGCATTGCTTTCAAGATACAAGGGAGTGACTCTCCCGGTGGTTTTTGGCAGCACAGTGCAGAGAAGAGAAGAATAATCTGCCTCACTGTTTAAAAACTGAACAGAGAATTTTCTAAGGATTTTCCCCCTTGCTTTCTTGCCTTGAAGTATCATTAGCCAAATTTTTCACTAGAAGAAAACAGGAGCAGTTTATTAGTAGACCACTATTGGTTAGGAAACAATATGCTCCTCTAGGAAAGAGCAGCTCTCTCCTGAAAAAATAGGAGTTACATTTCAGGAAGCTGAAAACAAAAAATATGTACCTAGCAGTGAGATTAGGGATGAAGCTTTTGAGGAGACTGTCACAGTGACTCCTCACGCATAGTTATTGCCACAGATAAATGCAACTTCATTCAAATTAAAACTACACTGAAATTCCATTGAATTAGTTGCCCCATCTTACTAAGTAGTATTACTATTACTTCTGAGAAACTAGCAAACTGTCCTCGATCACTCCATCCCACCTCCAGCTGCAATAACTCATATTGTTACTGCTGTGTCAGTCTTGGAAATAATAAAAAAAAAAAAGCCCTTTGGAAATGCCAATTATTAACTAACTCTTATTAATAAAAACCCTGTTATACTTCCTGTATATTTGGTAATCCTATTTTGTGAGGATATGTGCATTGTTTAGTGCATCTCTCAGCCTGAAGGTGACTGCTGCACCTTGGAATGTACCAGATCAGTCTCTCAGTTATTCCAGCCTAAGCTAGACTATTAGAAATGCTGTTTATTCAGCTGAAGTGCTACAGGCTTGTGTGCAATTATAAACAACCACATCCCACTGTGTGATGCTTTTGCATGATTTTGACTAGTTCTGTTTTGTTGCAGTCAACAGAAAGTTGTCTGCAAATAATTTTTGCATAGCACTTAAATATTACATTCTTTCATGTACCGATATTTATATATATACTCAAGGTTAGGCATAAGCAGGACCTTTTGTCACACAAAAACATTAAACTTTTAAAATAAACAGTGGAAACATACAAAGTAAACATGCATGCAGGCCACATGCTTCATGGCAAAGACAATTTACAGGAAGAAAATTTACTGGTGCTAGTAGAGAAACAGCAAGAAAAACAATCAGCAAGGAGGCTTGGGGCACTGGAAGCAGTAGCGGTCAAAGTAAGGCTTTCGTTTATGGCTAAACATATGTTTGGCTCTTTTTGTTTGGCTAAACATAAGATCTTGAATGCCAAGCAAGGCCTAAAATAGAAGAGTGTTATTAAAAACAAAACTGCTCTGTGGTCTTATTTATTCAGGGAAAAAGAAATCTATTCCTTGTAAATAAACAAGACTGCATCAAAGATATGAGATATCTAAAAGGCAAATTCTTTTTATAACTGAAACAAGATTATATCTGCAAGATTAATTTATAAAATCTTAAATGAGTAGATTATTCACATGATCCAACTTGTTGTTTTAAATGTGCATAATAAAGCAGAACTCAGCGCAGAGGTATTTTTACTATGTGGATAATTTAATTATTGGGTAAATTAAGCTCATCCTAATTTATAGTAGACATTAAGAATTAGCAATGGTTCTCTTCATTGAATCTAGATTTTGTTTTTGCATTTAGAATACACAGATATGTTGAAAATGGTGCTTTTCAACATGTGGCTGCAAGAATTGAACAAGAAATGTAAAATCACATAATTATGGCACTTCTCAGTGACTCATAAGTGAGCTACTACTGTGAGATGCTCTGAGAAATCTAGACTACGCTCTTCTAAACTTTAATTTTTGGCTTTTAACAGCTTTGCTTGGTGCTCTTGCAACTTGAACGTGCGTCTTAAATGTTTTTGAGTAAAGTAGGGTTTAATCAGATTGTATTATCAACCTTTAAAAATGTTAGTGAAAGAAAGGTTAATGCTGTTCTTATACATGACGGAAAATGAAACAAGTAGCCACATACATTTATTGTAGCAGCTAACTTTCTTAGCAATATTTTTGACCACTTTGATAGTAAACCTGACGTGGGTTTCATTTAAAAGTTTGAAGTCCCATAAGAATCTCTATGATTTTCCAGAAGTGGCCTTGAAAAACAAACCCCAAAAAACCAACCAACCAAACAAACAAAAAAAGGAACATACCCAGTAAACTTTGAAGGGAAAAATAATGAGATAAAAAATTACTCATGAGATCAAGATAAGTAACTGCCAAATTTAATGTAACTCCTTTTCAACACAGCCAACAATGACAGACTTGACTGCAATGAAGAGGTGGAATAAAGAACCCCTGGTTCTCCAGGGAAAGATGGAAGGCATTTCAACCATTGTTCACACATTTCAGCACTTGGCACAGAACAGGTATTTACACATATAAAGTCTGTCTCCCTGATCCTATTTATTTACCCATTGTGCTACATAGAACAGAGGAAGACCTGCATGTCAAGTCACAGACCTTGGTGCATCCAGCCCAAGCATTTCTTAATAGTTTCTTTGTGGCAGCAGACAAACATTTTCTTTCTGTTACAGAAGAGCTCCTATGCTATTGGATAAAATGATGAAGACAAACCTTAAGTGAAGAAAATTAGCTTTATTTATGTAAATTAGAAAAATGAATTATTAGAACTTTGGTCAAATGGTTAATTCTGTACAATTTACAATTATATTTATATACAAAACTTATAATAATAAAATACAGTACATCACACTTTTCCTGAGTCACAGTGTGTTTCTCAGTTCTGTAAATATTTTTTCCCCCCTTCTTTTTTTTTTTAAAAGTAAGTAGATTCCAGAAGGAAATACTATCCTCAGTTTGACAGTGTTTGGTTTAGATAATACTGGTATTAAGAAAGAAGTCAATACACTATATGTAGAAAATACTTTATAGTCATTGCAATTTTGATAGTTATTCTTCTATATTAAAATATATTCCTCAATAAAAATTTTAAATACTTCATATTATGAGTTTGCTGCACTTTGACACAAGACAAGCTGACTTCAAATACGTCCATCTCTCATTGCAGAGATACATAAATTTAGGTGATTTACATGTTTATATAACTGATCATTTAAAGATCAGGAAACACACATCCAGATAGAGCAGAAGTCTGAATCGAGGCACAGTTTATTAGAATTGCTGTCCTATCCTGGACAACATACGTAAGCTTCAGTTGCCCAGCTAGCACAATACAAAATTAACACAAGTATACGTCCTGAAAAGTGAGACTATGTCAAGCAGCAAGGCACCAAGCCTGAAAATACTTACATATGCATAGTAGTCCCACTGTGTAAAGCGCTGCAGCGTCCTCAGTGAAGAAGCATTTAGAGCTGTATTTAACAGCATTCGTTAAATCTTGGCCAGCTCAAGAAGTTATTAGGATTAAAGCTATCAATATTACTTTTATTGAGTTGATTTTTTTGAGATCAACAATAATTTATTGTAAGGCTTACAAGGATATTTAATCTGTATACTTAATGACGCAGTGTGTTAAATTATTAATTAGGATAGATTACCACCTGCAAGTAAATTTATGTCCCAGTTAAATCCAAAAACCATTCAGGGTAACTTATTTTTTGACAAACATTGTTTTAAAACAAAAATAATTTTACTTAATGGGTAAGTGTGGGCTGCTCCTAAATAAATCTATGGTAAAGTTCACTACATTTTTTTAATATAGGCATGCATGTGCATTTCTGGTATTTTAGTCCAAAACAATCCAAAAATACAGATTAGATGACCTCTGACAGATTTATTCATAGTGTTTAGAGATGTTCAAGAAGCCTTACACTAACAGAAAGTTATCTAGAGATTTTCTTTCTCTTAAAAACTTTCTGTAATTCTTCAGTGCAAACAATTACATGAGATCAACTCATAGCAATCCTACTCAGATTAGAAATTAAAAGGGACATTTTTTTTGCTGTTGATATTGAAGTGTGTAAAATGACAATATGAGACTTTAAAGAAAATTGGTCTTTAGCTGAATGCTTGAACTTTTCCCAGGATTCTTTGCATGTTTAGCAGTCTTCACTTTGATGCTTTCTTGATTGCCTTTGACAGCTGACTCAAGCCTGGCTTTCATAGTTGGAGAGGATGCCATTAGGTTTTTAAAAACTGACGAGTACTGTGGACCAATCTGCATCAGATTTTGCAAAGCAAACTCATGTAGATTTTTTGTAGAGTTCGTAGCAGAAACCAGGGCATTTTCGTCCAAAAGGAAGGAAATAAGGATGGGAAGAAGGCAGGCCACTAAATGAGCACCTGTAAACGTTGAAAACACAATTCAAACATATACTTTTTAAAAACAGCTTCAAATTCTAACTAGAAGTGTTTCTCTAAGTTAACCTTTAACACAAACTATCAAGCTGCAAATGTTATTTGAACTGTATGGTAAAAAGAACCAACATTTTTCTTAGCAATTTTGTTAGAAATTAGTGTTCAGGACTGAAGTCCTAGTGGTCGTTTTGTCTTAACTTGTTACCTAAAGCAACTTTCAGGATGTCTAATGCTTTGGATACTAGCAATGGAAGTAACTTACGGTGCTGTTCCTCAGCAGTGGCTGTAAGAGCTGTAACCACCTTTATTCCCTCCTGAATGACTTGAAGTTCTGCAGCATTTTCAGGTTTTGCTTTTTCTGTTTCCTGCAGTTTTCCCACAATGGACGGTGCTAAAGAATGGATATAAGGATATGACACAGTTTTGTTTGGATGCTGAAAGATGGAGTGCAGCAGCTGGTAGCACTTACACTGTACCTAAAGGGAAAATCAAATTTGCATTTACAAAGTGTTATACATGTCAGTGTTTTAAAACTCACAGCTTGTCAGATAAAATTTTAGGGAGGGGAGAAATGTGCCTCACAGCTTGAAAATTCATCAGGTTGCAGGCCTCTAATGTGTAATACTTCATAGGAGCATTATAACATGTAATCAAATTATTAATAGAAACTAGATCGTTCTTCCTATTTCCTTCCACTGAGTCCTACATCTTCTGACATTTTTGAGTTAAGGAAGAAATATTATTTTTGTGTGAAGATTATGTCTTTAGTATTGTTTAGAAAATATACTCTTTCTTGCAAAAATACAGCTGACTGAAAATAGGTGCTTAAAATATAAGCATTACCTCTCTCAAACTGTAGGCACAATTTTGAAAAGCCTCAAATAGTGCAGTAGCTTGCACGTCACTGGAAGTCAATAGAACTGAAACCATCAAGTTCCTACACAATTTCTGAAGGGCTCAGGTATCTAAACACTTGGATAAAATTTGCAAATGCATACTACCATTTTCTTACAGTCACATTCAGCATCCCCAGTTTCCTATCAGGGGAAACCAATGTTTATAATATAGGAAATGTATTAATATATAAAAAACTACTTTCTTACACCTATTTCTCAAGTTAAAGGTAACTTCATTCATTTTTTTCTTTACCACATGAATATAGAGAGAGAAGATGGAAGAAAAGCGGTTTACAGTGAATTCTCAGCCAAATATGAAAGGTAATGCATATTATTTTCAGAGCTGGACTTTCAGAGTGAGGATGTCTCAATTCATAGAAAAGCCATTTGTATTTGCAATGATAATAAATACAATTTCTTTTTCCTAATATGTTGGGGTTTTAGATGAACAATAGTAACAGATGAACCGTGGCACTACAATCTAAAGCAACTACCCAAAAATATTTATACTAGGTGAGAACAAAGCATTAATCTAGTTCAGTATGCTGCCTCCAGCAGTGGCCAGGAGCTGATGCTTATGGGACAGTAGAAGTTATGGAGTGGTACTTGCTCCAGCTCCCAAAGACCCACATCTGTGGCATTTCCTGTGCAAAAGATAGTATCTGTGTGTTGAAGATAAAGTGAACAAATAAAATTAATCAAGTGCCTGAAAAACTACACAACTATATAGCGTACACATCAATGTATAAAGCTCTAAGTCTGATGCAATAAAAAAAAAATTAATCATAGGAACACAGAACTGTATGCAGAATTAAAAAAATGTTAAAATGCATTGCTGGACATGTTCTTGCTAACTTGTTCAAACTGTACTTTAAAATACAATAGATACAGTCAGGACCAAATTAGCTGGAATCAACACAGGACAAGTGAAAAACTGAGCAGAAAATAAGCTAAAATCCATTAAATATGATGCTGATATTGTTATAACTTCAGTACTTACAAGAGGATCTTTTGAGTCAAGTGTTATTTTAAACTTCTCAATACAACGCTTTTGAAGGCACTCTATGGTAGTAACTTCTGGACTGGTAGACATGACAAATACTGTAATAGCAGTCAGCAGGCTAACTTCATCAAGGTCTTGGAGAAGCCCATCTACCGTCAATGAAGGAAGCAGTCTGTTAGGTTTGCATTAAAAAGTAACTCCCTGAATTCAAGTGTTACAAAGAGGTGGAATAGAAATATTAATGTCTGCATTTTTTCAGGAACCTCTTTTCTCAAATACATTACATACTCTGATTCACTGATACGGACTTTTACTGTAATAAAAGCCAAGGCCAAAATGGGAATTCAGCAGTGGCTTTATGTATATTTAGAAATAACAGCATACTCCTATTCCATTGTTCCTCTGTATGAAGTACAAGAAATATCTTTGAAGAGCTGGTATGACATATTAGGGTACAACCTGTTTTGAGATTTATATAACATTTGCATTAAGAACATACATATTTTTTGCTATAACTTAAAAAACCAGCATTATAAACAAAAGTTCCAACAACAAATTACAACTTTGAGATTAAACTTAAGGAATGATAAAAGTACTACAGACGGGAAGCTGAAGAAGCAGCACACAGACAACCAACTTTAAGACAAAAATAGTTTTTCTTGAACTACTGTTTTAATACCCTTTACTTCAATACAGACACTAATTCTTTCTAGAGAACCTGCATGCAGTACAGCTGTCTTGTCGGCTCAGCTGTACACTGAAGCCATAACTCTTGTTTATTCCATCATACCATGTAACTCCATTGCAGCACTACATAATACAGGGTTAAACCTGCCATCCCACATTTATACCTTTACAGATGCTGGCTTCTCACATGATCTGTGGGGATAAGACTGCACTATCGTTTCAACAGTACTTGGTAGCCAACTAATTCTCCTGTGACTACGATATTAGTCTTTTTTTAAGACATGCATTAATTTAATTGAAATAAAACCAAACAACCTTTCATGCAAACATTTTTTGCTTTGTTTTTGAAACACACAAACCCAAAATTTATGCTTACCTTGATCCCAACAGTCAAGCACTGTGACCAAAGCACTACGCAGAAGATCAGTCCAAGCAGTCCTACTCTTCTCTGCTCGAGCCATTGGAGAAGACAAAAGTCCTTTAAGAGCTTGTAGAGATGCAGCAACTGTCAAAGGTAGCTGGCCATCTTGCAATTTCACAGCAGTTTCTTTAAATACTCCAATAATTAAGTACAAAATAGTAGGAAGAACTGAAACACTTCCTGTAAAACAAATTAATTTCACAGAAGTTAAAAAAATTCAGGTACCTTTTACATTAAAAATATTGAAGCAGTTTTCTTGGATTCTCTCTTTTATTTATAACTTTTTTCATCACCTATGTGAATGGAGGCAGTAATTTGAAGAAAGATTTGAAATATCATGTGACTTGCTATAGCAAAATGGAGTCAGTCTGCCTAAGTGAAGTTAAATCTTTCCCTCTTTCAAATCAGCACTGTGTATCTTTTCCTTGATTATTTTATTATATCAAGCGTGGAATCATGTCATATTCAGAGAAAAGCAAAAAGAGATATTTCAGAATCACTAAGGAGCAGAAGAAGAGAAGCTATGGAAGCATACAAAGTACTGCACAGGGGGGGTGACGGGCACGGCCAGCCCGGCCTGCCACCGCCGCCAAGGGAGAGTGGAACGGTGGGGGCTGCAGGACGGCAGCGACTCTGCTCTGCAGATATTTAAAAGCAGCTTATTTGACATGCAAGTGATAAAGAAAATCCTTGCTAAAAATGCAAGAGAAAATCACAGAATCATGGAATGGGCTGGGCTGGAAGGGACCTTAGAGATCATCTAGTTCCAACCCCCCTGCCATGGGCAGGACACCTCCCACCTAGCCCAGGTTGCTCAAAGCCTCATCCAGCCTGGCCTTGAACACCTCCAGGGATGGGGCATCCACAGCTTCCCTGGGCAACCTGTGCCAGTGCCTCACCACCCTCACAGGAAAATATTTCTTCCTAATATCTAATCCAAATCTACCCTCTTTCAGCTTAAAACCGATACCCCTCGTCCTATCACTACCCTGATAAAAAGTCCCTCCCCATCTCTCCTGTAGCCCCCTTTAGGTAAGGGAAAGCTGCTATAAGGTGTCCCCAGAGCCTTCTCTTCTCCAGGCTGAACAAACCCAACTCTCTCAGCCTGTCCTCATAGGGGAGGTGCTCCAGCCCTCTGACCATCTTTGTGGCCCTCCTCTGGACTCACTCCAACAGGTCCATATCTTAGCATATCTTATCTGCAGAATTCACCCTCTCTCAGAATTGATTTTAAGACTGAAGATTTTATGTTTACAACCTTTTTTTTTTCTTTTTTTTTTTTTTTTCCCCAAGATGTAATATATAGCAGCATGGGTAAGAAGACAAATTTTATTACCTGGCCTCAATCATAGAGTAAGATTACTGAAGTTATCTGTTGCACAGCAAGGAGCAATATGCACTCATTAATAGCCAGTGTTACATAGGGATATATTAGGCTTCTGTCTGTTATTTTAAAATAACATTGTCTTGCTTTAGTGTTTAGTGAGGTTGCTCTTCCCAAACCAGACCTTTGTGAAAGAAGAAGAAATCGCACGAGGTGTTTAGTGCATAAACTAGCTCATTTTTGCTAGCTGTAGGGTACTGTTAAGTATGAGCTGTTTTTATTTAAACTCAGCTAATTTTATTTAAAATACCTTCTGTTCATTTACTCTAAAGCTGTATCCCCAGACTCATTAAGAAGAGTTTAATGAGGTAGAAATCCATTTAAAATGAGGGTTTTTCCATATATGTATTTGTGAGATAAATTGATTGTTAAGGAGAATGGATTATACTACAGTCTGAGCAAATTATGTAAGCAGATTATAAAGGAATATTAATATACAATGGTATTGATTATTCGTTGTTGCACTATCATTATTTACGCCAGGATTTGATGGAGAATGTTTACTTGTGCAAGTTTCAACACAAATGTCTGTGAAACAGCGTATAGAAAAACTAGGGTGACATCATTGTTTAGTTATGGGTTCTTGGTGTAATTATGTCATATTTTCCTTGGGAAGACAAATTCATTTTGTTGTGTCTTACATTTCTTGAATCTTATTGGGTCAAAGAATTATAGTAAATTTGTTGGTTACATTTTAGATTAGAATTTGGATTTGATTGTGGTTTTTGTATAGAAAAGAACTTCCTGGGATCTAAACAATATACCTGTGCATGAAATATATTGATATTTTTATCAGTTATTATATAAAGACATTTTGTTGTATGTTCTGGGTTTGGCAGCTGTCCCAGAATATTTCTTGTATCCTCTCTGCTTGTTGTCCCTGGAGCAGAGAGTATCCCAAGAGTGGTATCCAGAAGACATTTCTGGTTGTTTTCACATCAGTTCTTTTTCAGCTAGGCAGATGGCAGTATGAACAATTTATCACAAAATTCAGTGGGCATGTGTTTTTCTTTACCCTTTGTGTGAATTGTCATGCATATTTCATATAAGTTTAATGGAATTAATCCTTTTGTGAAGAGGGGGGTGGGTGCTGGGAGCTCTGCCTCTGCGGGTACTTTCTCCTGTTTATCAGAGGATGAAATGCTCAAGGTCTTTCAGTACCAAAATGATCTCAAGTGGTCTTGAATTCTTCCCTAGGGATGATTTTTTTTGTTAGTAATAAGTTTGGTGTTGCATAGCATTTGGCAGGGGCAGTAGTTGACTGGAACTTTGAAGAGACAAGATGCATCTTAGATGTTATTCCTCTGTCTGTGGTGTCTGAAACCATCCATGATCAAAGGTCTTTCAAGCAGCTATCACATCAACTGAGTGCCCTAGGTAGTGTCATCTGTTTTGAAGAGAAACTATACAAAGCTGTGGTGGAATTTATATAGCAAAAATACAAAACAGGTTGCTGGTAAGGGTTATATTTTGGTAAAACTACCTCTTGTGGGACAGATGTAGCTGAAAGGCTGCAGTGTCAAGAGAAGAATTAGATTTAAACGTTTTATTTTCTCCGTTGTCCAGTGTGGAACTCTCTCTTCCCATGCATACAGAGATTAAAAAAAAAAAGAAAAAAAAAAAAGACAAGTAACAGGGCATATATAAGGAAAGAATGGGTACTTAGTTAAATCACTTAGAAACATTTAGTAAAGAATCACAGGTGGATGCCACTACTGCTGTGAAGGGTGAGATAGAACTGATGGACTCTGCTGTGCTAGCTAGTCGAGGTTGCTGTTAGAAGACTTTTTCATCATCAGAGATGGCCTGGAAAGTGGAATTTTGCAGCCATGAATTGCAAATTTCCATCACAAGATAAAGAAAATTCCACAAAATACTTTATAAGCTGGGATTAATGTTTAAATAAGTACCTTTTTAAAATTTGATTATGCTGAAAAAAACAAAGCAATTGCCCAAAGAAAGAAAAAAAGGTGTTGCATATATTTAGTCTAAAGATGTTAAAACTGCCACCAGACAGCTCAGAATGATAATATGTTTTGTATTTGAAGTGATGTTTACAATCTTATATCCTGAACTGAGACAAGTCCCTTGCTTTCTGCTGGACGATGATGCCTTTTTCTTCTATTTTGCTCACAGTTTACTTATTTTCCTTCTGGTTTTGAGCTACTTAGCCTACTCATGCTATCTGTGATGTGCTATCTGGCCCTTTATATTTGGTGTTTTTTTGTTTTTTTTTTTTTTCAGCCTATTTCTCAGTCTGGTTCAAGACCCAATCAAGCTTTCTTCTTTGTACAGCCTCAAAATTGCTAGCTGAAATGCTGATAAGCTGAAAAAGAGAAGATACTGCTGAACAGCGATGTGGATGTCGAGAAGGTTAGGTGGTGATGTTAGAATAATTTTACTGTCTAAGTAGCAGACACATTATGATGATGGTATTTAGTACTGACTTCTCTCTTATTCGAAGCACTGTCCAGATACTAAGGTAAGGAGTATGTTTGCATCCCAACCATCCTCATCCTTCCTCCAGAGGTATTTAAATAAGGAAAGCAGAGTAAGAGCATGAAGAATTTCCCTAGTACAAGTCAAGCAGCAGAAATGAGATGGAATAGCAGTCCTATCACTCAAAGACTCCAAATATTGCACAATGCCTGTGTAAAGCTGCCAGAAATAGCTCTTCCAGAGAAGACATGGGGTGAAGGCTATCATCAACTTTGCCTTCCAAACAGACCCCCAAATCTGTTTTGCCTTCAAAAGAAGCATTGCAGACTTCTGGAGGAAGATGACTGAGAGGAAGAGATGGCACTAGGATTTTTATCTTTCTGGTTTGCACCATAGCCCTAAGGAAGGTTGTGACTTCTCAGAGCTGGTACACCTCTTCAGCTTTTCCAGCAGAGACAATTTGCTGTCCCTGCGAATGCCAGAATTATTTCCAGTGAAGGCTGGTATTCCTGTTGGGGAAGAGCAATCCTGTGATTTGAGCAGTTGATTTTATGTGTGTTTAAAGTATACAGCAAAAGGTAAATATGCTATTAAAAACAGATTATTTTGTTTAGTCCTTCATACAATTACAAAACAGATAATGAAATGTGTTAAATTAGAGTAATCAAAAATTAATTCAATTTCTGAACTAAATAACAGATTCAGTGTGAAGGCTGTGTCAGGTACAATTACAGCTTTTCTAAGGGAGAAGCAGAAATTTGGCTCTATTTGTAAAAAAAGGTAGCTGGATAAAGACATGCAATCTGCTTGCTTACCATGATTGCCTAAAGGAAATAAGAACACTATTAATCACAGTTTCTTTCTCTACGGGTGTCAGGCATGTTCATTTGCCTGTGACATTTAACTACTGTATTTTTTCCCTGCTTGGATGTCTCCTGCACCAAACCTTTGTCTGTATGATTGACAGCCATTAATGTTGAAAGGACTTCTGTATCCTGCTCCAATGAAATGAACGGAGGAGTGGGAGTAGCCTACCTACAGTATGTACCATAGGGTCTCATTGTAACACCTCATACTCATTAGAAGAAATACAATTTTTTTTTTCACAGAACTGAGCTAACAAGTTAGAGTCCTGAACCTTTCTTGTGTAGTCAACCTTGAGTTCCAACACAACACTCTAAATTCTGTAATTCAGAGGGACATTGTACAGAGCCACCAAACTGACTCCAGAAGGAGTCCCTCAAAGGTCAGCAGTTTTCTGGCCTCCTTAAGTACTGCCAGGTCCAGGCTGATCCCTGCAGGTGTATTCAAATGTCTTTGGCACTTGCTTCCCCAGTCTTCTGAGTTTGGGATCTGG